ACACGCTGGGCTTCATGCTCATGCTGGCGGCCGTCATCGCCGCCACCCACCTGGTCTACATCAAGCTGCTCTTCTTCATCCACGGCCACCGCAAGATGAAGCCGGCCCAGCTGGTCCCGGCCATCAGCCAGAACTGGACCTTCCACGGGCCGGGAGCCACCGGCCAAGCGGCGGCGAACTGGACGGCTGGCTTTGGCAGGGGGCCCACGCCGCCCACCCTCGTGGGCATCAGGCAGGCCACCCACAGCCAGATCAAGAGGCTGCTGGTGCTGGAGGAGTTTAAGATGGAGAAAAGGCTCTGCAAGATGTTCTACATGATCACCTTGCTCTTCCTGCTCCTCTGGTCCCCCTACATTGTGGCCTGCTACCTGCGGGTCTTCATTAAGGCCAGCTCCATCCCCCAGGTCTACCTGACCACCTCCGTCTGGATGACGTTTGCCCAGGCAGGGGTCAACCCGATCCTTTGCTTCATCTTCAACAAGGAGCTCAGGGTCTGTCTCCGAGCCCACTTCCCGTGCTGCCAAAGCATCCAGAGCACCCAGGGCACCATCCTTTGCGATCTCAAGAGCTTTGGGATGTAGGGGGCTTTTTTTCTCTTTCTAGAAAAAAAAAAAAAAAAAGAAAGATGGATATCATTTTCCATGTTTCTGCATATGATCTCAAGAGAGTGTGACCTATGGGGGACATACTAAACCACCACCCAGCACCCAAACCTTAGGCTGTAAGAAGCTATTTTATTTATTTTTCTATATTTTGCGTATGCTCTCTTCAGAACATAACAGGTTGCTGTCTATGGGAACAGGTACTTGAGCAGAACACCCCCAGACCTTAGGCAGTAAGAAGCTGTTTTTTTCTTTGTGATTGTGTGGTTTTTAAAAAAAAAAAACAAAACAGGGCTCCAAGTTTCTGGTCTTGCTTCTAACGTTTCTAAACATGATTCCAACAGATACGGATTAAGGCCATGACATTTTTTTTGTTTCCCTATTCCTGTCTGTTTTGATAAAGGCTTAACAATTTTACTCATGTAATATTTGATAAGGGCCAAGACAATTTTATACTAAAGTTATTTTTGATGACCTCAAGAGGTGTTGTTTTATTATTATTTGATTTTCAGTGAAGAACAAGAAGAGGACGTTCCTAATGTGGTCAGAAGTCAGTTTTGGTGGGAGCTGTTGGGTTCATTCATTCTCAAATGGTTTGAGTATTTGAAGCAGTTAGTTATAACTTTTGCTTGACATGCAAACAGTGTAGAACTAATTTCAATTTTTCTTGTTGCACTATTCATTTGGTAATATTTCAGAACTATTTGTGAAACGTGATTTTAAAATACCAACTTTAAAAATAATCAACTATAGCAGTTTTTAAAACCTAGATTGAAATTCATATTTTACTGCCTTTATAGGAAGTTATCTACAAACCTGGGTAATACTTGTACATTTTGACTGTTTTCTTTAATAAAATATTGAAAACCTTTACTGTATGTAATTGTTTCAGAATGGCAGCATTCTGCTTTGCTGACAAATAACTTGTGTATGTGGAAGGTTGTATGTCTTGTGTCTGAGTAGATTTCACAGCTGAGGTTATTATGGACAAGCACAATCCTTATTTGCTGTTAGATCTCAATTTAGGTGTTCATACCAATAAAAGTGACTAAAGCTATTTTTAAGAAGGCTTAAGTTCATGATGGGCAACAGGTTTAAATAGCACAATTCTTTGTGTCTCCTGAAACCAAATTTCTGCTGTAGCTAATCTCTCCTCTGTTTAATGGCAGGGAAGAGGGTGATGTGTAATTGTGCTCATTTTAGTTGGCAAAGCAGGTTTTTTTTAACATGGTGTCTTGGTTAATACTGTGCTCAGTGATAAACTGTGTTCTTAATGGGAAGTTTACGTTTAAGCATGGCATTTTAACCTGTTCTACAAAAACTTCTCTAAGTATTTTAACCAGTAGCCTGGTGGCAGGATCCTCACACAACTTCTTAGCCATCTCAGAGGAACCTGTCCCTGATTGGCAAAGCAGGTTTTTTTTAACATGGTGTCTTGGTTAATACTGTGCTCAGTGATAAACTGTGTTCTTAATGGGAAGTTTACGTTTAAGCATGGCATTTTAACCTGTTCTACAAAAACTTCTCTAAGTATTTTAACCAGTAGCCTGGTGGCAGGATCCTCACACAACTTCTTAGCCATCTCAGAGGAACCTGTCCCTGATGTGCTTTTCTTTCTGATGTGCCATATAACACTTAACAAACGTGTGCTGGAGCAAGTCGCACACAAAATGACAGAGATAACCTCAGTTTACCTGAAAAAACTGCATCTGCCAAGGGTATTTCTATTGAGAGTAGTCCAAAGCTGGTACTGATCAACTGAGAAATGGTCCTGTCTCTGAACTGAGGAGAGAAGAGGCACGTGTGGCAGATCAGAAGAGGGCAAAGGTGGTAGCTTCAGCTTCAGGCAAGGAATGAAAGGAGCTGGGACTTCTGGTTTGGTCTTAAGTCTTGCTTTCCATCCCAAGCTCATATTTGAAGACCAAAGGGGCAACGTTTCTTGCCATGCATAAGGAGAAGTTTATAATTTGAGCTTTAGGTATATCTGCAGTAGAAGGTGGAACTGTACCAGTGCTGCCAGAACTGGGCTAAGAGGTATGACCATGGATGGAGTGCCTTGAAAACAAAGAGAGACTTACCAATTATATCCAGAGCTGTTTGAAAATGGACCTGGGTACAGAAGGAAAGCTGTCACATACTTAGGTCACAGCAGCAGCTGGTTATCAGTGCTGATTATGTTTTCAGCCTGGAATATCAGATCATAACTTAGTGAATCTCAGTAATGGGGTAGAGTTGTGCTATAAAGACTATGGGGCAAGGTATGGATGCTTTTGCTGGGACTTTTGTTCGAAGTATACCTTACATGCCTGGTTTATTGTTAGATCTTTTCAGCAGGGTTCTAAGTTTTCCAGAATCATGTTTGCTTAAAGCTTAAGAAGCCTCGTATGTAGGGAGCTGGAACTGTGACCTCTAACCCAAATCTTGCCATTTTTTTCCCAATCCTGCTGGTAGTCAAGTCAATATTTTCTTAAGCTATTAAAAATGCCTGATATTTTGGCACCCTCTCTCACTTCCATAAGTAGTATGGTTATGATTCTATTTAAACTACAGAGATGGGAAAATTGTTATTTTAGAACCTCCTTAAAAGCTGCAAGGACCAGATTTTTCACTTGTAGGAAAATTAAGCACAAGTTGTAGAGTCAATTGTATATGCGGGGGATGAACACTCACCTTTGGGCGACCTGATGGTTTTATTTAGACTTGGCTTATCAAGCAGTGCTGCTGTTTTGAATGTCAATCTCTGTGCAGAAGCATCCTCCAGTTCAGTGATGCCCTTGCTGGATGGTTGAGTTGGGTTTTTACCTGGTGAAGATAATGGATGATTTGCTATCGCTCATCAGTGGCAGCCAGACCCAGCTTTGCTACAGCACAAGGATACAAAAAAGATCAAAAAGAATATGTGTATACCATGCTTTTTTGCTTGCTTGCAGCTTCCAGGGCTGTCTCAGGACTTGTGATGTACTCTGAGGGCAAAATCAGCAGTTTGAAGTTAATGTTTGAAGTTAATTTTATACTGTAGGTACTTGTAATGTCAGTCAGATTATGATCCTGGCCACAGTAGTACAAAAGAGAAGGAACACCAGTAGCTTTAATTCAGGGTTTAGATGGGTGTTGTAGAATAGGGCTTCATTCCAAAAGAATGTGAAACTAAATATCAAGGACAGACACGTGGCAGAAAATTAAAAAGTACTCGGTGCTGGCACACCAATAAACACCACTTTGCTGGCTGAGAGTGCACCAAGAAAGTAGGAAAAAACAGAAAGGGCTGGAGAGGCACCAGAGGATAAATATTCCTTCTGAAATCTGAGAAAATATAATAAAGTTGAAAAAAGAAAAAAAGCATTTCCAAATCACAACATTAACATGTTTTCACAGCAGCCTTTGGTCTATGTATGGGTAAAGTGGGTCACAGAGATTAAATGCATTGACCAAGATCAGAGAAGGGGTGCTGGAGAGGAGGAAAAGCTGCTCTGGATTAAAAGAAAACAAAATAGAGAAATAATGGGGAGAACGGGCTGAGCACAGGGAGCTGTCACTGCTGCTGCTGGGACCTGTGAGATGTGACTGTAAACCTCCATACCCCCAAAAACCAGAGTACTTCTGGTCTCGCCCAGAAGTGCCAACGACCAAGACTCAGTGAGAGCCAAGTGTCAACAATTGCCTCCTACATCCACTGGAGAGCTATTGCAGCTTGTGCAAGTCCTGGGCTCACTTGTAGAAACTCAGGTGGTCTGAACCCCTCTCCCTATCCCCACTGACCAAAACACAAAGTCCTTGGAAGGTTTGGTGGGCTGCATGGCAGCAGAGCTCCCCCAGCTCTTCCACCAACCTGTGCTTGACCAGAACATAGACCGAGTTTTCTCTATGCCCCTCCAGGCAGATGCATGATGGTTTTGCATCTTGTGGACACCACAAGTGCTGAGTATCACAGGAAATACCAACATCATCTCCCCCACAGATTCTTCACAGTCTGGCTCAGAGGTCACAGCATGCTGCTTCTGCATATCTGTGGTGAGGAGTTGCAGTTGCTCTGAGAGCTGCTCTGCAAAAATCTTGATTGCTGCTGGCATCTTCACTCCCTCACCGGGTATTTAACACATTCCTTACAAACATTTCCAGTCAAAATCTTGGAAGTCAGTGGAGGTTTTTAGTACAAACTTAAATGTCAGGCCAGTTTGAAAAATGACACTGGTCTGAAATCACAACTAGTGACTGTACGATCTCCGATTTACAAACGTAATGCTTAGAGTACTCTGTGGTGCTTCTAGCTCTGCTGTTAGATTTGGGAAGAGCTTGCTAGGAAAGGAGATGAAATATCTCAGCCAAGTTATCTTGTTGGGTAAAGGTCTCATTCAGTGGTCGTGCTAGTGGTGGAGGATGAGCAGAGGATGCAGAGCCCACAAGCTGTCATCATTTGCTTTTCCAATACCAGGTCTGCACCAGAGGAGGCAAAGCTGCCTCCCAGAATGGTGTGGAGCCAGTAGCCTCGAGGAAAAGGGCAGGAATTTGGCTTAGTTTGATAGCAACAATTCTTTCCTGGGGCTCTACCTGGATGTGATACAGCTACATCTCCAGAAGGCTGCTCTGCCATATGCTGCAGGACAGCCCTGGGACACATTGTGTGGAGCTCAGGGGAGAGCAAAGCTGGCATTTCCCCTCTCTTCCCAGAAAAGGATGCATGGAGTTTGGCTGGACCTCTGCCACTTACTCCACATGGTTCAGCACCGTCACCTTGCTCTTTGAACGCACCTGCACTTGCTCAAAATTGCCAACAAACCACCCCAGGGGAAGTGGCTCCAGACAGAGTAACAAACACACATTGGCAGAATGCAATGTTAAGTGTCACTTCATTAACTTAGGCTGCAGATTGGATCATTCTGTGCAGTATCAGAATACCCCAGAAACCTTATTAGATAGTTATGCTGCAAATCAAAAAATTATTAGAAACATGGCAGGGGGGCTGTTTTCTAATAGAGGTTCCATAAAATCCTCAATTTTAGCACAGCTTCCTTTGTAGCTGCTCAAAACACTGCACAGGCTATGATTAACTCTATTGTGATAGGAGCCAGGAAACATCTCCCATGCTACGGTGGTCTTATGCTTCAGAATATTATAAAGTATATGACATGTCAAAGAAATGGAGCCATCAGACAAAGACCATCAGTGCAGGTAGTCTTAAAGCTGGTGCAGAGTCATGCTGGGCTGGGGTTTTTTGATGGGCATCTTATCCCAAACCTCCTTTGATGCTGGTGACCTCTAATGCCATGTCGTTCACGAAGGACCTCGTATGGGGTAGTTAGCAACTTGTACCAAGTGAAAATAGGCTTGGAGATGCTCAGCATCAACAGCTCTAGGGAAAGTCAGAGCACTGCAGACATCAAGTTGGAAAATTAGCTCTTGGTCAACAGTTCTACAACCGATGGATGAGTGAGGATTTACCCCACATAAGGGTGCTCTGACTTTCCCTAGAGCTGTTGATGCTGAGCATCTCCAAGCCTATTTTCACTTGGTACAAGTCATTAACTGCCACACACCTCAGTACTTTATCTTACTGATTAATTATTCTTACCTTTGGAAAGCACAGAGCTACTGATGGCAAGACCAGAGCATTATCACGGGTGAACAATCGCTGACTACACAAGCTTTCATCACTTAACTTTAAAGTCAAGCTCAGCCTTTCATGCAAGCTGTTGCATTTCTGTATTTCTTTTCATGTTTAATGACCACAGCACTTGCCCTCTGTCTTTGATCTCGAGTCATGCATGGTCGCACTGTGGATGTATTTATCGGAAGGCCACTGTCTTCAGTGCCGCATTTTTCACGTCTACCGTGACCAGGTTGATGGCACAAAGCACTTTGTGTAGGAGGCTTTCAAGTTCAAAGCTAGTCTTGCAAGGGCATGGAGAAGCTGTGAAGTCCCAGCTAATTTTAGGCAGTCATCACAGCGCTAATAGAGTAGGCAGAAATCAAGAGATTGCCCAGTGAAGAGAAAGACCCTCCTGAAGTTTCTGAATGTTATTTACTGGTATGTCATTAAAAAAAATAATCCTGTATT